TTCCCTTTAAGCCTCATGCTAGGACAGATCATACAATAGGTGGTCCATATATTGTTCACAAGTGATAGTAATGGGAAATAAGTGCTTATTTCACTAGCAATTTACCAGTGTGTGATTCTTTTTTTTTTAGTATCTTCTTTTAATTGTTTTTCTGAGATAAACAAGCATCACCTCCTGCCACTTGTACAAGTATTTTATTGTTGAGATTGCAGATTTATGTGTCATTGTATTGTGGCCTTTAGTCATTGTAGTGTACAATTTCTATAATGTGGTTGCCCTCCAAACAAAGACTTTAGATCTTTAGTTCATTCTTAGTGTTAAACACCTGAGCAATAATGACTAAAAATTATTTCAAAGGGAACATGCAGCATGTTTTCAGGTAAATTCAGCTTGCAGTTCAAATAGGTATGAGATGCTTCTGCCGTTTTTTATGTGTGAACTGACCTTCTAACCCACCTTTGGCCTCCTTTGTACCTGCTTCTGACCTCCTTCTGTATCAACCTGTCTCAAGATGCACTTTCATCCCTATTGACTTCTATGGCAAAAAAATTGTTCTGACATGAACAAATGTCCATTTACATAATCCTTTAATAATCCTGATGCACCAAGTGTCTGCCATTGGAGGTTGACACAAGGTGAGCTTAGTTTTAGATACAAATACCCTATACACCCCACAATTTGGAAAACACAGCTATAAATTCTGTACATACTGTTATAAAGTGCAGAAAAAGCCAGGGTTGGATAAATCATAGTGTGGTCTAATAACTTCACTTCACTCTAACTCCTAGAAGCCTGAGGAGTTAGAGCAGCACAGTGGCCAAATGGTTAGCACTTCCACCTGGCAGTACTAGGGTCGTTGGTTCGAATCCCAACCATGGCACCACCTGCCTGGAGTTTGCATATTCTCCCTGTGCCTGTGTGGGTTTCCTCCGGGTACTCCGGTTTCCTCCCACACTCCAAAGACATGCTGGTAGATTAATTGGATCCTGTCTAAATTGGTGCTTGTATATGAATGTGAGTTAGGGACCTTAGATTGTATACCCCTTGAGGGTTAGGGACTGATGTGAATGTACAATATACATACATGTAAAGTGCTGCATAAATTGACGGTGCTATATAAGTACCTGAAATAAAGAAATAAATACTTGCAGATGCCTTCTCATTCCTATGTGATATTATGTAGCAGCCTCATTTTATGTCATGTAGATATAATCAACAGATACATAGCCTCTAAATGCTTGTATTTAATAGTCAACCCTTCATATTTGTTTCCTACAGAAATATAACTCTGCATGTTATGGAGATAAGGAGAAGGAACGATTCAGTAGTTTAGCACAAAAAAAAAAAAAATTGGACATGGCCGACAGCATTTTTTTGTGACTTTGGTCCACAAAACATTGTACATTGTTGGCCTACAACAGAAAAATTAGGACCTGAGTGTAGTTCTGGTATTCAGGATACATCCCAGTAGACACTCCCTGTGATTTCACTAGAACCCTTTACTGTCCTTAATTGGAAAGATATAGGTTCCTATGGGTACATTTCAGGTAGGTTACATGATGGCTCATAGAATTGCAATTTCAATAAAGCAACATTGTCCTTTTTTCCTTTTTTATATTGATTTTGATGGGATTGGCACATATGTTGGCTGCTTATCACTATGGACACTTATGGTTGTTACTATAAATGTTCAGCAAAATTGATAAAAGTGACTGTTATTAATTATTAATTATAAGAAAGTGATATATGCCTATATTTTTGTTCCTTTTTGATTGTTGCAATCCTATGTTGTCTCCGGTAACCTTTACTAAGCCTTATACCACATTTAGAACTGGAAATTCTGCCCCCAAGTGTATATTATATGTAGAATAATTGATAACAATGGAAAGAAGGAAGTAAAGCTTATTCTACGAATGAATCTTGAATATTTTCTTACCAGTCCCGTCTGTTTTGTCTTTGGTCCAAATTCCTAAATTCTCTCATATATACTTCTCTGTGCCTAATGTGGAACATATACCAGCAGGGCTGCATTATCCAAACCCATCATGTCATTATGGAAACCAACAATCTACCTATGGGGTGATGACAGGTAAGTGGCTTGCTTTTAATTTTGTAAATGTTGTCATTTTTATTGATTTCATACTTTTTAATGACATACTGTACTTTGTTTAAATATCTAGTTCAAAAAGACAAATGTTAAACAAAAACATGACAATATCTAGCTCTGACTGTCGTAACTGAGAAACCCTGAGGTCTAACAATTGCTACCCGGCCAACATGCTTGACCTCAAGCCTTTAACACATGCTTTCTTACAGCTCCTGAGTGTGTACAACAGCATGAAATCAAATAGCCCTGTATGTAAAAGAAAGGTAAACAACTACAGAATTGTAAGATTTTCTACTGATATAGACGCTCAGGAACTGAGAAGCAGGGTTTTTTCTTAACAGCATGTCAATAACTTTTTGACAATAAATGTCATTGTAATGGCAGATAAGAATTGGTAGTGCATAGGAACCCTGACAGAACACTTTTTATTTTTATCTTTGAAAATATAAAAAAAGAATTATAAAAAACACCTAGTGGGATTATTTAGTTACACATACAGTTGTGTTCAAAATAATAGCAATGTGTTGAAAAAGGTGAATAAAGCTCAAAATCCTTCTAATAGCTTTTATTTCTATACGCACAAATGCATTGGGAACACTACACATTCTATTCCAAATCAAAATATGAAGAAAAATATATCAAATTTGTGTTGTTCCTCTAAAAAAAAAATTGAAGAAAAGTGAATATTAGACTGTTCAAAAAAATAGCAGTGTTTGTATTCTTCTTTACAAACTCAAACATTCACTAAATAAACTGAAAAAATGTTTGAACATTTTGCTTTCCTTTGAATCACTTAATTAATATTTAGTTGTATAAGCACTGTTTCTGAGAACTGCTGTACATCTGTGTTGCATGGAGTCAACCAACTTCTGGCCCCTGTGATCAGGTATTCCAGCCCAGGATGATTGGACTACATTCCACAGTTCTTCTCTATTTCTTGGTTTTGCCTCAGAAACTGCATTTTAAATGTCACCCCACAAGTTTTCTATTGGATTAAGATCCGGGGATTGGGCTGGCCACTCCATAACGTCAATCTTGTTGATCTGGAACCAAGATGTTGCACGTTTACTGGTGTGTTTGGGGTCGTTGTCTTGTTGGAACACCCATTTCAAGGGCATTTCATCTTCAGCATAAGGCAGCATGACCTCTTCAAGTATTCTGATGTATTCAAACTGATCCATGATCCCTGGTATGCGATAAATAGGCCCAACACCGTAGTATGAGAAACATCCCCATATCATGATGCTTGCGCAACCATGCTTCACTGTCTTCACAGTGTACTGTGGCTTGAATTCAGTGTTTGGGGGTCGTCTGACAAACTGTCTCTGGCCACTAGACCCAAAAAGAACAATCTTACTTTTATCAGTCCACAAAATGTTGCGCCATTTCTCTTTAGGCCAGTCAATGTGCTCTTTGGCAAATTGTAACCTCTTCAGCACGTCTTTATTTCAACAGTGGGACTTTGCGGGGGCTTCTTGCAGATAGCTTGGCTTCACATAGGAGTCTTCTAATTGTAACAGTACTCACAGGTAACTTTACACCTTCTTTGATCTTCCTGGAGTTGATTGTTGGCTGAGTCCTTGCCATTTTGGCTTTTCTTCTATCCATTCGAATGGTAGTTTTTCGGTTTCTTCCACGTCTTTCAGGTTTTGGTTGCCATTTTAAAGCATTTGTGATCATTTTAGCTGAGCAGCCTATCATTTTCTGTACTTCTTTGTATGTTTTCCCCTCTCCAATCAACTTTTTAATCAAGGTACGCTGTTCTTCTGAACAATGTCTGGAACGACCCATTTTCATCAGAATTTCGGAGAGAAATGCACTGTAACTAGCATGTAGAACATTTGCTGCCTTCCTTTCTTAAATAAGGGCAATAATTGCCACCTGTTTTTCAAAGAATGAATGACCTCACTAATAGAACTCCACACTGCTATTATTTTGAACATGCCCCTTTCAATTAGTGATTCAATTACACAGAATCAGCAGCATGCATGTCATGACTGTTGGGTCTGTTGGATTTCTATTACCCTACTACACCTGCTAGTAAATTATTTGCCATGTAGAAATATCATTTCTACCAAAAACAGTGATTGATCAGGTTAGTGATGTCTGACTGCTATTATTTTGAACACAACTGTACACTATATTGCCAAAAGTATTGGGATGCCTGTCTTTACACGCACATGAACTTTATTGGCATCCCAGTCTTAGTCCGTAGGGTTCAATATTGAGTTGGCTCACCCTTTGCATCTATAACAGCTTCAAATCTTTTGGGAAGGCTGTCCACAAAGTTTAAGAGTGTGCCTATCGGAATGTTTGACCATTCATCCAGAAGAACATTTATGATGTCAGGCAAAGATGAGAAGGCCTGGCTCGCAATCTCCACACTAATTCATCCCAAAGCTGTTCTGTCGGGTTGAGGTCAGGACTCTATGCAGGCCAGTCAAGTTCTTCCACCCCAATCTTGCTCATCCATGTCTTTATAGACCTTGCTTTGTGCACTGGCACTCAGTCATGTTGGAGCAGGAAGGGGCCATCACCAAACTGATCCCACAAAGTTGGAAGTATGAAATTGTCCAAAATGTCTTGGTATGCAGATGTGTTAAGGGGCCAAGCCCAACCTCTGAAAAACAACCCCACACCATAATTTCCCCTCCACCAAGCTTTACACTTGGCACAATGCAGTCAGGTAAGTACCATTCTCCTGGCAACCTCCAAATCCAGACACGTCCATCGGATTGCCAGACAGAGAAGCATTATTGGTCACTCCAGAGAACACCTCTCCACTAATCTAGAGTCCGGTGGCGGCGTGCTTTACACTACTGCATCCAACCCTTTGCATTGCACTTGGTGATGTAAGGCTTGGATGCAGCTGCTTGGCCATGGAAACTCATTCCATGAAGCTCTCTATGCACTTTTGTTGTGCTAATCTGAAGGCCACATGAACTTTGGAGGTCTTTAGCTATTGACTCTGCAGACATTTGTCAATTTCTGCACACTGTGCGCTGACCCCGCTCTGTCATTTTACATGGCCTACCACATCATGGCTGAGTTGCTGTTGTTCCCAGTTGCCTCCACTTTGTTATAATACTACTACCAGTTGACTGTGGAATATTTAGTGGGAAGGAAATTTCACGAATTGACTTATTGCACAGGTGGCAACCTATCACAGTACCACACTCGAATTCACTGAGCTCCTGATAGTGACCCATTCTTTCACATATGTTTGTAGAAGCAGTCTACATGCCTAGGTGTCAATCACCTCCTGTGGCCATGGAGGTGATTAGAACACCTGAATCCAATGATTTGGAGGGGTGTCTCAATACTTTTGGCAATATAGTGTATATAAAAAACACATTTGTTATGGTAAAACATCATTAAAATGGTATGTATACATAGAACATAGTTTTAAAAAAATTTTAATTTTGTCATGCAGAATTATGGAGGGTTTTGCCATGAATGAGCAGAACACACACTATTAACTGCTCTCTATTTGACTTGATGTCCATAGATTGCAATATCTCTCTGTAGCATTCCCAACTAGCGGATTAGCAGGATATAAATGCTCTTATTGGAAGGTGTTGAGAGTTGTATGAACACTAAAATAACCGGCACTAATTAGTAAAACACATCTCTTGCCATATTATGTCTCTTGGTATATTTACAGTATATTTTTCATAGTCCAATTTTAGCCAAAACTTTAAATTGACACATAAACTGATTTTAAATGCAGCTTATGTGAAATCCCTGTACGTCCTATTCATTTAGGCTCTTAGACAGGCTACCCAAATGAGCCTTGCTACTTAATAACAATTCACCAAAGAACCCTGATATCTAGTCCAGTTTTTATAAACATCTATAGTCATAAGCCCTGATGATAGGGGACAATGATCCTCTGTAATGTGTTGGGTATCAATATGAAATTTGCTGTGACCAATGAAGACTAAAGCTGGCATAGATGGTTTGAATCTCAATCTGTTCAGCAAGGATCAGCCAAGATTCGAACCATGTACAGAAAGGCTAAATGTACCCAAACTGATCAATCCATCAACATGGGTACAACCAGCCTATCAGATTTTACATGTGATTATTGTTAGCGACTATTATGGCCGCCAGCAGTAATTACTGTGTTCTCCCATTAGGGACAGCTCCCCCTGCCAAAAAGAAAATCGTTCAATCTATGGCCAGCTTTACTGGACTTGCAACTACCCTCTGGCACTTTCGTCTTTCTAGAGTACTTATTCATTTTCTAATCTGTTAGATACCCAACCCCTGGACAGGAAGTGAGCGATAATTTCCTGCATGGGGACACAGACAGAAGTAAAATCCTGGCAGGTTTTAAAATGTTTCAATGATACTAGAAAATGTGGTATAGATACCTGTATTCACCCTGGGGAGTTTTTCCCTCACTTCCTTTGCTGTATAACACCTAACAAATAGACAGGTAGAAGGTTCAAATGTAAAAAAAAAAAGTCATAACATGTTAGCTTTGTCAGCAGGGCTGTGTTTTTAGCTATATGTATCGATAAAATGTATGACTTTTTTACATTGGAACTTCCCTTGATGCAGACTATTACTAATATCCTATTGGAAGAAGGCAGTAGCTAGAGTCGGGCTCCGAAGTCAGGAATTTGATTGGGATATAGGAGTTTCTCTTGCATTTTATGCTATTAGAGTCAAACAGGATTGCAGCTGGATATGCTGGAAAATTTGTGGCCAACTCAGCTGAATTGTAACATTGGTGTTGTGCTTGTATAACTATTTTAGGTTTTGTAATGTGGATGTATAAAATGCTTTTTATCTGTTAGCAAATTGGGGAGTCTTTTTTTTTTTCAAATTCATTCTGGAAGGAGTAGGGAATGGTTAAAACCTCTGTCAGATTTTTGTTCTATCTGCATTCTATTACAGAGGTTTGCCTTTATTTCTTGTCCTGTAAATACAACAGGAAATGAGAGGAAATCTCTCCTTAGCAAGGGTAATCCTCTTTACAACCAGTGTCCCCATTGGAATATATATCCCCTCACTTCCAGTCCAGAAACAATGGACAACAGGGAAAAAAAAAGATGGAGACAATCTCCTAATGGGGATCCAGACAGCAAACAAAAAAAAAAACTGTCAAAAGTTCTAACCCCTCACTGCTCTATTAAAACAATGCACTTTTTGCAGGAAATTAATAAATTACAGTTATTGGCTTAAACGACTGTCAAACTGAAGGGAGATGGGTAATATGTAGCCATCATACTTGATACTTTCTGGTTAGTTGACATAGGTTAATGCTCTTTGCCCGTTCTTCTGATTTCATGCGCTCCTAGTGAATAAGCCCACTGTGCAGACATCTATATTTGAACACCATGACAGAGATTATACTGGACTGATTCTTTGCAGGGATTAAACCCACAGCTCCAGAGATGCTATCTGCAAGTATTTCTCAAACAAGAATTCTACAAACATGCAGCATGCCTCTATCCAATGTGGTAAATGGAGTAAGTACCTTACAAGGTAAGTTGTTTTAGAAATGTAAATCTAAATTGTATCTCTAGACAAAACCTTTTTTTAAAAGTTTTGTATAAGGTGTGGAAGTGTTAGACTGTCTGCTATGTTTTTATTGAAATCTGTGTCCCCAGTGGGGGGATTAACCATTATCACCGAGTAAAAAATAAAAGGCAATCTTAAATGCTGGAGTTGTCCCCAAAACAAGAGGTGAGAGGGAATCTTCCAGTGGATTCCTCTAACTTCCTGTTGCATCTATAGGACAGAAAACAAAAGGAAAATTTCCCCTATGATAAAAGCAAAAAAAAAAATGGAAGGGATTTAAACCCTTCCTTACTCTATAAAAAAATGTTTTGGCTACAGAGATATATATATAGAGATATATATATATATACATGCACACTAGGAGCAGAACAGATGCCAGAACCAGAAAAAGCGGCATGTAAAAAGCTCATAGTAGCTCGTATTGCACAAGACTTTAGAAAGGTTTAACAGAGTCCCAAAACATTCCCCCCTGCTCGTTTATGCGCTTTTGGTATTTTTTTCTGCCTGAATACTCCTCTCATAAACGCACTTGTGATGTTTTTGGGGTTTTTTCTACCTCTAAGCTCACCTTCACCTCATCTTGAAATATGCCTCTAAATGCCCTAATGTGAATGGACACATAGGATAACACTGAAAGGCTTAGGCAGGAGTAAAAATGCAAAACTCCTCTAGAAGCAATGTTTTTTAGCCCAGTCTGCATGGATCCTATTTCATAGTTTTATGAGGATGATAAACCTAAAATGCACATTATATGCATAGGTTTAGACTTGCTTTAGCGCAGGCCATACTAAGTCAGTCCACACTCTATGCCAAATCTTCATTTCAAGTAACCACAAAATAAAAGATAGATAGAGCTGGATCTTATGGTTTGTGCTGGCTTTGAATAACAATATGCAACATTTTTAATGGACATAGTGGGGTTGATTTACTAAAGACAAATAGGCTGTACACTGCAAGTGCATCGCAAGTGAACCTGCAAATGCATTTCAAGTTCAGTTGCTTTAGATCCAAAGGGAAGCTCTGAAATGAGGTGAAGCTCTGCTGATTTCTTTCATCCAATCATGTGCAAGCAAAAAACTTCCAGGTTGTCCATGGAAGTTAACACCTCGACAGGAACGTCTGCTTTTTTTTCTTTACATTTTCCTAGCATGTTCCCCTCAGATCTAGAGCAACTGCACTTTCAATGCATTTGCAGTGGACTTGGAGTGCACTTGCAGTGCACAGCCTATTTACTGTACCTTTAGTAAATCAAGCACAAGTGTGAAGTCTTTCCCTTTTCTTCAAAACTGCAGATTACTTATGCAAAATTGCTACAAATAATACTTACAAGTATGTTACTAAGAGACCTACAGTGCTCAACATAAATGAGTACACACCAACAGATTTGTCAGAAAACCTTTACTTTTCTTTCACAATCAATATTTTCTATGGGACACTATGCTGCAAAATGTTCCCACAAATGCGGGCCATTGATTGCAAACAAATGTACAAACAAGATTTGTACATTTGCACAAACACAAAAGTATTTTTCCTAACACATTCATTCAAACCATGTTGCAAAAATGAATACACCCCAATCGAACACCTATAGAGAATTTTGAAGAGACAAGTTGAGCATCACTCTGCATCCAGCATCCAGGCTCTAACAGAGGTCATTTTTGAAGAATGGAAAAAGGCAGATGCTGCAATATGTCGCCAACTTGTTCATTCCATACCTAGAAGATTTTTGTCCTTACAAATCCTAGAGGTCATACAAATTACTAGATGTAATAGTTTTTGTTGTGGAGTGTGTTCATTTTTTAATCAAATAATTTGAGTATACCTTAAGATTTTGTAATCTAAGTTATATTATTAACCATACTTTCATGTAATGAGCTAAATATACGTTCTATAAAACTCAGTTTTGTCAAAATTTAGGAAATTGTTCTTGTGTTCATGAGATATTCATTAAAATCTTACTTTTCAAAAGGGGTGTACTTATTTATGCTGAGCACTGTATATCTATACAATATTGGCAATAATTAATATTTTATTTTAAGAGAACCTTTATTTTGCCCATACTATGGAATCAATTTAAAGGAGAGTCCATGAGATGTTAGTATTAATAATTTTCAGTTTCTCCTACTGCCCCAATCTGCTGCCAGACCTCCTGAAACATATTCAGTACTTATTCCTATGAAAGAACATGTGAAATCCCCCTTCCCCATGCCCCTACAGCACTCAGCGTTTCAGTGGTCAATAGCCAGGGACAAACCCAGAGGCCTGTTATGTGGTGGTAAGGGAAGCATGCATAGTCCTGTGCAGGTTAAGATTTGCCCAACAAGTCAAATTTTATACAAGAATCCTGGGTGACTTATAAGCAATCTGAAACAGTAGTCTAAGCAGAAAAGGCTAATGCAACAATCTAAATTTCTTCCAGGAAAGTGAATCTACTTTGATGAGTATGAGCAAAGTATAAAATCACATTAAAGGACAACTTTACTTTTGCTGTAATTTTTTTGGTTCTAATTATTATTCCATGAGTGCTGCCCACATAATCTTGTACATACATTTAACCCCAGTCGAGTGATCTTTGGTGTGGGGTCCCACATGGAGTCACACAGCCTTTTCTTTGAAAAAACGTAATTTCAACCTGGCCATGCAAACTGCAACCCCATTAATTTCAATGGGAAAGTTT